CTATATGTGAATGCTACGCATTCGTGAAAATATAAGTTTTCTTGCTTCTCGATGAAATAAAATATGTTATTCACTCTAAAACGACAAATATCCTCTATGTATATTGTAAAGAAAAAGATGAATTTGTGCTATTTTCTTTGAAATTAACACTGAAAACACATAATTGTAAAAGAGATAATGGGATACAGGCCTATAATGTAAGTAGTGTTTTTTAGGAATATGATATACGGCTATAACAGTAGTAGGGTTTTTTTTAAAGAGGAAAATATGATATAGGCCCATGCAGTGAAATGTTTTTATTAAACAATATACAGTTTCCATAATTACAGTAGACTATGAAGAAAATATACGATCCCCCTGAAAAAATTAACTTCTATATCTTTAAACTTTTCTAAAATTACTAGAATAAAAACACAACTGCGCATTTAATGTAAATCTTTTTATATATACATAGACTCTAGAATTACAGACTATGAAGATAATAATATTATATAATACCACATAAAATTAACTTTTCTATATATCTTGACCCTTTTTTTCTGTAAAATACTGAATAGTAAAAAAAGAAAATGGGTTATTTATATAAAGATCCTAAAATGTTAAAAAGAAAGTAGAATATAGGTTTAGATGTATGTAGGTATGTATGTAGAAAAAAGCTATAAAATTACATATTAGGATAAAGAAGAGCACAAAAAAAAAATTAGCTGAACAGTATTTAAATTTGAATATTGCAATATACCATTGCAAAGACAAATTGGTAGTGTAAATACTGCTTATACTTTTATTATTTTATCATGTACCCTATATGTCAATAGATATTATGTACTTGTTTTTTTTACCAAAGGACATGATACAATTTTGGTATTCATAAATATTTGAAATATAGTAGAAAATTTATGGACGAATACAACTGGCTGATTTCCAAACATTTTTAAAATCCAAAATCAAAACTATAATTAAAAAAACAAGGGGTGGCATCTTGCAGTTTACACTCTTTTTCGTCAGATGATTTTATATTTTCCAAACAATGACTGATTTAGTATGTATTATTAATAGTAATGGTACAAAAGCCCATGCCTTACTCTATAATTTAGTATTTATTATTTTCAATTGTATATATAAATTGATAAATTCAACGTTATATTATAATCTGATTTACGGCAAACTGTATGGTTCGCCTCAAAACATTTTATGGCCTTCAGCCGATATATTATAATGAGAATGTGCACTTTTAACTATTTTAAGAATAAAATCAGTCTTGTACCCTTTTAAAAGTTATTTTATATAAAAACGCCAACAATGTTTTAGACACATTATAATGTTCTGTTGTTAATGTTTTCGTCGAATTTGCTTGTAAACAAAGCGCATACTAATAGTGGAAATAAGAGACTATAAGTGCTTCTGGGTGTAGCAAGATGGCGGACGGTGGCTTCAAGCTACGTCATTTGTTGATTGCGTCATGAGCTATGATTTACTAATGACATCGATTTGTCGTACACCGCATTAGTGCAAAGAGTTCTTTGTGTACACGGGACCTCCATTTTCGCCCTCCATTCTGCACCACCTGGCAAGGAGGAATCACGCTGGATGATCTTTCTTGGTCAACACAGGGATCAAATACGTGACATCCAGGTTAACAAGTCAACGTCTTACTCACTGAGCTTCCGTGGCTCCATCACACTGATATCAAATCACGATACTGATCTTTGTCTTGTTAAATAATCCATAGTGCAAAATCTAGGTATGATGCTGATATTGGAACAATAGACTGTTTTATATACAGGTACAGTGGTGCTATTGGATCTATAGAATGTTTATATAGAGGTACAAGTAGATGACCCGGCGCTGCTCGGGTTGGAAGTAGTATAACTGGAAGAGGTAGCCCAACGTCACCAGGCCTATGTTACTCCTTGGTCCGAGCTACCCCTATATACCAAATTCTAACCCCTGGGTGTAGCCACAATCTTGAACAGACAGACAGACGGACAAACAATCAAACGACAGTAACAAATATTAGTATAGATGGTGCTGCTATTGGAACACTATAATGTTTTATGTCTAGGTACGGTGCTGCCATCGGTCATGTTGAATGTTTTATATTTAATCAGAAGTAGTATCCAGGGAACGGGTTAGAAAAAGTCAGCATATCCCCGCTTGTACGTGACAAGGAGTAGGGTCGCCTGTCCAACACGTGTGTTTTCTCCAGATCCCCTGGTTTCCTCCCACTGCTTAGGATGGGGTTAAACATCCACTCGACACAGAGTAGGTCATTTCGGGACTAAAATATGGTTCAATTTTATTTCAATAATTATCTTGGGCGTAGGGCTATTTAGCTGTGGCAGGAAATCGGAGGACCCGGAGACAAAAAAAAAATAACTCCTTTCTTAATTAATGATGTATGGAGAACATGGGTCTTTCCGGTCGATATATACGTAGAATGTAAAATGATTTTATATTGGCATAAAATTATCACTGGAAACCCTAGCATTATGTTGTTTATTAGTATGATATATACAGAAGTTAGCTATAGTTGGATTAATAACATTAAATGAATCCTAGATAATACTGGGCTTTCTTATATATGTTATATATGGTACCAACAAAATGTTAATCGCAAATCGTTGATGCAAACGTTATTAGAAAAGCTAACAAAAAGATGAGTTTGTGCAGAACTGGAATACAAAAATATCATAAGGTAGTAAATGTATTAATTATAGAATATATAAGCATACATTATGTAAGAGCTAAATTTGCCTATTGCAGGTCTTTATAGATCTAAATATTACCGTTGTCAGTCAGCACGTCAGCTATTTGCTCAACCGGAGCTTTATGATGAATTGCTAGCATTTTTAAAAGAGACAAACTTTTATTCAAAATTTTAATTGTATATATTTATCATATATGGTGTTTTAAATATTTATATATGTAAAGGAATTGATATATTTATTTTTAATTATATTTTCTGTGATATTTGTTTTTATTTACATATATGAATACATCCCTGTGATATTGTTTTAATTTGTCTCGTTAAATTCACCATGTTTGGCGCAATATAACCCGGTTGGAGCTGACGTGCCATTAAACAACATTTCATTTCATTACTTCATTCATGATTTAATCATGAAATGGACAATCGAGACTATGTTTTTTTTATCGCACAGACTTTAGTAATGATGATCGAGGCTAGGCCGAAAATTCAATCGCTAAAATCGCGGTTCATAGTTGGTCAATTTGACTGAAATTTTCAGTAAATTCCCTTTACATTATCCTGTTTTTAACTATTATAGTGAGAACTGCCATCTCCTTATCTAATCTCTCATAATGTATCTTTGAGAAAAAATTTAAATTAGGAGACTACATGTGAAATGTGCCCCTAAGATATCGTAAGTGTCTTTAAAAATTGCGATGTAGAAGTCATAGATTGCCTATTAAGACAGTATCATATACCAACATATCCAGACAGGAAAGGAAATATATATGTAGAATGTCTATTATTTGTGGACTACAGGTCTCAGTATGTAAATATATATTATTTACAATTTCCATCCACACGTAAAATGAATGAATTATTGTATATTAAGGGTAAAGATATTAGAATTATGTAAATTCATTGAAAATATATGATTGTTTTTCTTGGTCCCACAAATGTAAATACTTTTAAGGAATAGTCTGATGTTTAGTAAAATATTATTTTAAGATACTATTAATTAATGTTAAATGTAAATCGTTGATAGTTTGATGATGAATGAAATGTATGAATATAATGAAAATATAAAATGAAACCTAATGAATTCTTGTAACCTGATAGTTTTCGTGAATAAAGATTATTATTATTATCTTCGCGCAGTGGAGAGTGTTGGGGGGTGTGTGTGTGTGTGTGGAGGGCGGGTTTGTTCCGTGTAATGGACTAGGACCTCTCTTTATCTAAATTCAGCCGAACAGTTGGACGTTAGACCTCATTTCATTTCTTTTCATCTAAATTCAACACTGGTGTGTTCAATCTCCCAACAACACATGCACCGATGATAACCATTGTGCCATGTCACTTTATGACCGAGCTAATATATAGTTGAATGACTGGTCTTTGAATTTTAAATTAAAATAATTATTATTGCTTTGAATTTTAAATTAAAATAATTATTATTGCATATATTATGATTGACTAATTACCATGCACAGTTAATTTTATTATCATGGTAGACAGCTGTGTGGAGGTATATAATCACTTCAATTTATAAAAGTCGATCAGTTTATAGACCAACTGTGCATTGTAAAGATATAGCAGTGGAATTCAAGGTAAATACGATAACGCATAAGTAAATAAGCTGTACCCCATTCAGATATCCGAATTAGATTAGTCAATAGATATGATATTTGATAATGGAGGCTACATCGTGGCGTCATATTGTAGCCTCAATTACATTGCCGTACTTAGTGTAACTTTGGTTTTTTTTTTTTAAAAGTATATATGGGGTTAATAGTATTGTAGCTAGGAAGGGGGGCGCCTGTTGGTCTACTATATTACTCTTTGAGGTAATCGGTTGATTCGGACCATGGCTCATTCGGACCCGACCAGATTCTTGATAAGACATGGGTACGTGGCGAGGCGGGAGGGCACCTGTTTGTCTATACTAATTACCGCTATTTGTGTTAAAATTGGGTCCATTCATCGGGAAACCACCACAAATCTCTTTGATGTTTATTTTCGGAACAAGGTAAGCGAACTATTACGCTTGTTTTTCTATACATCATTTATTTGGAATAACACAGTAGGCTACATTTTCCATTATGCTTCTTACAACTGGGACTGGTATTGGTTTTAAAATGTTACAACCTATTGACATTTACTTAGATTGGCGGGGGAAAAGCATACATGGTCACGATAGAGACTAGATAAAAACCCTTTTAAACTTAGTTAAATGTCTAATGACGCTTTTTTTTAGTATTTATAGCTATGCTATCTATCCTTATACTTATCCTTATTGATATAGATTAACATCATGCTAGCCCTGTGGATTATAACAGTTGTTGTTGGCTACTTTACTATCAAATGGTTTCTGAACAGATTAGAGGTGGGGAACTTTGGTGACAAATACGTCTTCATAACCGGATGTGATACGGGGTTTGGAAATCGCCTAGCCAAGAAATTAGATGGTTTAGGTTTAAACGTTATTGCCTCTTGCCTAACTAAAGATGGTGCCTCAGAATTGAAGAAGGTGACGTCAGAACGACTGACGACTGTTTCATTGGATGTTACGTCAACACAAGACGTTAAACGAGTAATGGAGGAAATTGATGAAATGATTCCGGTCAATAAAGGTAATTTGAATAGTAGCTTACCCACAGGGGTTGGTAGGGGACTTGCGAAGCCCATTAGACCCATGACAAGAATGCATCAGTTCCTCGCAAATAAGCTTGTGCAAATTCAAAAACAAAATTAAATTCACAATCTGATGGAGGTGCAACGTCCTACATTCATCCATCCATACCGTCTATAATTTATTATTTTATAATGATTCAATAATTTTGTATACAGAATTTGGAAATTTGGAAATTTCATCTTCTATCTAAACACATCTTTGCAATACACAAAACAGGAGAAAATTAGTCATAAATTTAATAAAATTGTTTTCAGATATTCTAAATTATTCATAAGCAGGCAATGTATACAAATTTGTTTTCTTCGTCGGCAGACTATCTTCACTCAGCAGTGATTACTTAATAAAGTTGAAATTTTTAAATCACGGTTTCGCCAAATTCTGACTACAGTGATCTTTCTAATAATATATCAATAATCACAAGCATTGAACATGTAATAAGGGAGGGGAAAATAGCATCCTGAATAGGCCTAATAAGCGGGAATTATGCTCCAATTGGCCTTGATTGAAAACGCGTCAGAACGATAAATATAACAACCGCTAGGATTCTAGGCATCAAATCGTTTTATAGGGTATTTGAGGGGAATGTTAGCACGAACTACTCTTGCCTGAACAAGAACTAGCAACAAAATTGAGTTGAAGGTTTGCAAATAAAATAATAAAAGCCAAGAGTTACCCCCCTTTAGTCTCGGTTAGCAGGGCGCAATCATGTCATTAAGGACTGGCATCGCCAGCCAAAGAACAACTCAATAAGAACAATTTTTTATTCTCTTAAAAATCTTTGAACGTTAAAAATATTTTATTGGCGATATATGAATAACATTTCCTTTCATAATTCATTAACCAGCGGCTTGAGACTATAAAAATTTGCCTATTGATAATAATGAGAATATTATTTGAAAACTTAATGGGAGCACTTTTTGAAATGGGTGTAAAAATGTTTCTTAAATAGTTCCAATATCGATAAACACGTTACTACCGCGTCTCGTGATCGAATGATTCAAGCATGTTTAAACGGACAATAAACGCCTCTAAATTCGAAACAGGAAGTGTAATGTCCTATAGTTTCTATACTGTACAGTGTAATATACACCCGCTCAAAAATTAAGCACCACCAACTTCAATAATAAATTTTGAAGCGAAAATTCAACATAGAAGAAAACGGTCAATGATGTTTAAAACTAGGTTACGTTATAGAGAGGTAACATGCAAAAACAACTTTGCATGATATGCACGTGCGCGGTGAAAGTCACTGTAGCAAGCTGACCCTACAACTTTAAAAATCGAAGTTTAGTCCTGTCATTGCTAAGAGGTTTCGAGTCGTAAAGCGATTGAAAAACGCATTGGAACTATGCCTCGACGGCGTATTAATAACAATGAGAGGTGGCAAATCATCGGAATGCGAAATGCTGGCATGTCATGTAGGGAAATTGGACGGCAACGTAACATAAACCACAGCGTCATCAGTCGTCTTGTAAGGAAGCACAGAGCTACGGGGGATGTCAAAGATCGTCAACGAAGTGGAAGACCACGAAAAACCACACCTCGTGATGACCGACTCCTTGTAAGACATGCCAGGCAGGACCCGAGATCGACAAGTCGGACTCTCAGAGACAGGTGGCTAATCAACACCCGATTGTCCCTTAGTACGGTGAAACGACGACTAAAAGCAGGTGGACTGTCTTCTCACTCAGAGACATATTCAAGAACGATTACAGTGGTGCAACGCAAGGAGTGGTTGGAACATCCGGTCTTGGAGACGTGTCCATTGGTCGGACGAAAGTCGGTTTCTGTTACATGTAACTGACGGGAGAGCCCGGATTTGACGTTCACGAGGCACTGCTTACCAACAGCATAACATCCAGCCAGAGATTCCATTCGGCGGTGGTTCTGTGATGGTTTGGGGATGCTGTTCATATGACTGCAAACTGGAGCTGATTCAAGTTCAAGGCAACCTCAATGGCGACAGATATCAAAATCAAAAAAATCTGGTGGTGCTTAATTTTTGAGCGGGTGTATATATATATATACATCAATAGTAACCTATTCGTATACCTCATTAATATTCATTAGTTTCATCAATTTCTTATATGTATACACTGTTAAAATTATATGTATATTTACAGTTATAAGTATAGTAAAAATACAGTGCAGGATTTGTCAGATCACATGGTTTGTTATCTTACATTTAAAACGATGTAGATGCATATAAATACAAGGCTTATGGAAGTTTACATCAAACGTAATGTAGCTATACAATCATATGCCATTTTACATTATATGGGCTGTATATTAACAAAAATGTCGTTGTAAATATTATTTTTACAGAAAATTGTAAATTTACTGTCAAATAGTGGTAACATCGGCTATTCCCAGTTCGACTACATACCGAATTTTGTGCAAAATATTTACTGTTTTGTCAGTCAGTTTAGTCCATTTTAGAGAAATAGGTTATTCAAAATCTGAATGCACCGAACTGGCTAATAAAGACAGACATATGCAATAGATTGGATTGTGTGGGACATTTTGTTTGGACGGTGTTATATCAGCTACTATTTCCATTGAAAGGAGCAGAGCAGTAGGACAGTAAACTCCCATTTCATATAATTTCTTAACATTATTGAATGTTGTTTTACATGCTCGGCTGAAAGGTCCGCAAAACTTTCTGTGTTCGCCAGGATCGAACCTAGTTCTAATTAGCCAAGAGGGGACAACCATATTCCTTTTAGAAATATTACCTTGGCAAATTACATATAATATGTAATTCTACAATAGTTATGAGGTATTATTACATAAACTCTGTAAAACTACATAATATGTTATCGTACCAATTTATGTGAATTAACATCATGGTAAGTTTACATGTACTCCATTTACATACATGTAAATTTACCTTCGATGTATCTCATCTACATTAGCCCAGTTCGGAGCAGAACAGTAGGACGTTAAATTTCATTTCATTTCACCTTGGATGTATAATAGCTAGAGGTAAAATTACATTACAGACTGTGAAATAACATGAAATGTTAAAATACAGTTATAACGATGGCGATATTTCTGCCAGTTAAAAAAGGGTAAAAATACATAATAATTTTAACAGTATAAATGCATTTACTATGTAAGAGCCTACACCAATAAAGTAGACGTGCCTTTGTCTTATGTAATATAGAAGCTATTACAGAAAGTGTTATCCCCAAATTTATTGTTACAGGTTTATGGGCGATCGTCAACAATGCTGGAGTCCCGGGTTCCATTCTACCCTTTGACCTTACAACCAAAAAAGATTTTGAAGAAGTACTGCCTGTTAATTTATTGGGACTAATTGATGTCTGTATCAAGTGTGTGCCCCTACTCAGGAAAGGAAGGACAAAGGGACGGGTCATTAATGTTTCTAGTGTTGCTGGACGCTTTGCAGTAGGTGCGAGTCCTTATGTAGCGTCCAAGTACGCCGTTGAAGGTTTTTCAGATGGTCTCAGGTATGTTGTTTCTTGTTGTTTTTAGGCGGAGGGATGATGGACTGTCTGTATACGGGTCGTGCGTATATTATTAATATATGGTATCGTTTTATTTTCGTTTAACTTAGGTTCTCACTTTATCACAAAATGTACATACTGCTCACGGGTGGGATTTACCGTCCATGGTTGATTTTATATTACCGACACAGATTACGTGTTGTAGACTTGGAAAATAGTCAGTTTAACACTGGAATAAATGGGCAGGTCAGATTTGAATGATGCCCTATTTTAGTTCAATCTTTCAATCTGCCTTTTTTTTTCCATTAGTGACGTCATATACGTGGTTCGTCTTCTGAGAATGGAGACGTTTTAGGTACCTCCAATAGTGTAGGTTGTCTTGATATCTTATCCAACTACATTATGCATTTGGGACGCAAATAGATATCGATGAAATGATTTCTTGTCGTGTATGCCGAAACGTCTCTGCTCACATAGACCACCAACATTCACTGAAAGAGATCATTTTCTCTACTAATTCACACAGTTTACGTAATTATTTCGTTATTCTTTTTACTTGCGGTAGTTACTATGTTCACGCATTTCGGTAAAAAAGGGGAAATTGCGGTCCTTGACACGAAGAAAGTCCCCCGCCCCCACCTACACACAGACTCAGACGCTGGTCGCTTTTGATTATAAAAAGTTTCTCTTTCAGGCGTGAGTTAAAGTGTCAAGGAATATCTGTCCATATAATAGAACCGGGTCAACATACAACTTCTCTCGCAAATAAGGAGAAAATAATCAAAGACCTTGAGCAGGCTTTTCATAGAACCAGACCTGATACACGAGACTACTATGGTGAAGAATACATTAAGAAATGTGAGTTCAAATGTTAAATTTTCCTGTGGCCTCAAGATGCTTTAAAACACGAAAATGAAATGAAATGAAATGAAATGGGGTTTAGCATTCTACCGTTCTACTCTGACAGGGCTAATAAAGATGGGTATCCGCCATGCAGTGTGCTATGAGGGAAATTTTGTCCATGCAGTGGCGCTACGGCCTACTCTTATATTAAATTGCAATTACCAAGGGATCTTTTACGTAGGGGTACAGTGATCAAGATTGTCACGTTTCGAGCTCCAGTTGGCTGATAACCTCTGGCTTGCGGTCGTGGTTACCATCCTTGGTGTGGGCGATGTTACTTGGAGATAAGGGCACCTTCTCAACTTCGTGGGTTTACTCGGGGTACTGCAATTTTCTTCCACAGGAAAGACCAATGCGTGTGCGCTAAGCAAATTAAATCAAAACTTGTCTCCGATATCAGTAGTATAGAAGGCACCCAGGGGTGATTACGGCACCCCGAGGTATTTGGTTACGGCACCCTATGGTGGTTACGGCACCCTGAGGTATTTTGGCTCGGGGTACTTTGAGGTATTTGAGCTCGGGGCACTTTGAGGTATTTGAGCTCGGGGTGGGGGGGGGGATTTCAGGTATGGGCACATTGAGGTAACTTGAATGGTTGATAGCGGTCATCGGTTGTACTTGTTCATGTGAGGGCTGGTTTGAATGGTGTGGGTGTCCGAGAATTGGTTTATCTGTACCGCGCATGGCACAGGCGTCGTCCCACCCCATAGACCAACACATGTCCTAAAATCCCTGTAGTCAATTGTATTTGTTCATTCAGTTTTCTTATTTCCTCATTTAGTTATTTATTTATAATTTAGTTATTTATTTATAATTTAGTTATTTATTTATAATTTAGTTAATTATTTATCTAATTAATTTTCTTTCCTTTTTTTTTTCCATTTTTTCAACCATTTTTTTTTTTCATTAATCAATTGTTTAATTAATTTTTTCATTATTTCTTTTTTCAATAACTTTTTTTTTTTTTTTTTTTAATTTATATAGTTTTAATGAAATTTTCCATTTGAAACGAGGTGTGGCGTCCATACTTGTTGAGGAAGACAGGGACTAGATTAATATGGGGGTGTTACATTTTGGAACTTGAATATTCTTAGATTTAACCAATCAAAATTGAGACAGAGCGGGAGAAAGAGATGTGTCAGTAACCTTTAGGGAAGACCATACTTTTAACAGATGTGATTTGGTTTTGATTTTGTTTTTGCTGAGTTGTTCAAAAATCAAAAGGTGTGTGTCATTAAGGCATGAGAATTGTTTTTTAAAAGTAAAAAAAAAATAACTAGATAATTGTAGTCATTATCGTATTAATTAATATGTTAATATATTAATTGTTTTGTATTAATTTAGGTTAGTTAAACCCTAACGTACTTGAATAAGAATGTTTTTATTTTAGCATTTTTGAAATATATTAAAACCCACATTCATATTAACAAGTACAACCGATGACCACTATCAACAATTCAAATTACGTAGTTGTCACATGATCATTTGTAAATCGCCTCAAGTGCCGCATACCTCAAAGTGCCGATGCCCTCATTGGTTGGCTTTATACGCATATTAAATCGATTTAATATATACATTAAATCTCGAATTAATATATATATATACTCAGCCAAATTAAAAACTTGACACTGATGAATTTCAACAAATTTTTTTTTCTGGTAAGTCAAATAAATTTTAAAGTGTTTCTAACGATAGTAAGTAGCCTTTAATTTCATGAAATTGTAAAGTCACGTGGATCATGTGACATTTGAGCATATAAAGATGAAAAAACCTGAAAAACACGTGCAAACACAAACTCGTGAGGTAAATCGATGCAAATTTGCTTAAACTGAACACGCACACGTAACTTGAACTGGAAAAACAAATTAAAATTGTTATTTTCATCTTTGTTAGAAAATCCCGCTCCTTTCAAATGTAGAACGTCTACATGCTATAGGTAGGCTCTATGCTGGTCAGTCTGCGGTCACTGTTGCAAGAGCCTTTAATTGTTCACGCCAGACAAATATTAATCTTAGAATGAGAGTGCTTCAAACTGGAACTATTGCCGACCGCCCAAGGGCGGGAGCGCCACGTGGGACGTCACTCCAGGAAGATCAAGCAATACGATTACGTCATCTTAGAAACAGATTTGTCACTGCCACCTACACAAGTAGAGAGATGTTTAGTGGAAGGGTAAAGGCACAAACTGTTCGAAATCGCTTGCAGGCTGCTGGTCGTTGAGCTCTGAGGCTCTATAATGGACCAATATTGACACCTCTTCATCGCCGTAACTGACTTGTGTGGGCCACAAGACACATAAGATTTACTCAAAGACAGTGGAATTCGGTTGTCTTTAGTGACGAATCTCGATTCACTTTGAGATTTGCCGATGGCAGGGCCCGAGTGTACCGCAGACGCGGTGAACGTTACGCTCAAGTATGCGTCAGAGAAGTTGACCGATTTGGTGGCGGCAGCGTCATGGTTTGGCGTTCTTTTTGTGCACATGGACGTTCTCCTCTTGTTGTTGTCCAAGGGAACTTAAATGCTGTCCAGTACAGGGATCAGATTTTGCAACCTGTTCTTCTTCCGTTTATGCAGAGACATGGGCCTGGACTAACGTTTCAACAAGACAATTCTCGACCCCATACAGCAATTGCTACCCAGAATTTTTTTAAGAAATGCCGGTGTCCAAGTCCTGGATTGGCCGTCGCTAAGCTCCGACCTTAATCGTATTGAACACATCTGGGACGAACTGGGTCGACGTGTTCGTCAGCAAGTGAATCCACCACTGACGTTGCAGGACCTTCAACATGCTCTTGCTGAGCAGTGGCGACGTCTTCCTCGGGTAGTGTTTACTAATGTTCTGAGATCCATGTGAAGACGTTGTGTGGCAGTATGAAACGCTAGAGGGGGTGTACTGTGACACCACGATTGTTATCAATGTCAAGGACTTTCGGCGAGACGTATTCTTGCTTTCTGTTGATGTCAAAGTCGTCTGGGCACAACATAACACTAAAATAGTTGCCTTAAACCGAATATTAAAAATCTAGTCCCAAAAATCCCGAGTGTCAAGTTTTTAATTTGGCTGAGTATATATATATATTAAATCAGCTTTTTGTCCAAATTCGCCAGTCATAAACGCGGGCGTTAAAGACTAATAGTAGAATAAAATGTTAACGGCCATGTACATGTCATTTAAACCTCGCAGTGTAAATAAACCACAGTAATTATTAGTCATAAATAACATATTATTTGGTTATTATCCCAATTACTAGATGACATACTTAGTACATTACTTGATAGATGCTTTCATTATACAAAATCGGACTGGTGGGGTTATAATTTTATATTTTATATTACAGATGGTGACCGTCTTATTAATTATCTATGCAGCGGAAGCACTGACCTCGAACCAGTGGTTTCAGCCATGACACACGCAGTGACGTCACGTTTTCCAAATCTTAGATATGTTGTTGGATTGGATGCTAAATATATATTTAGAGTTTTATGGACACTTCCTGTCTCTATTGCTGACTTTTTGTTTTGTTTAACAAGCATCCGCCCAAGAGGGGCAAAGTAGATAACTGTATTTATATAATTATTAGTGTTTAAAATTTCAGTGGTTCATATTTGTAAATGTTTTGTATGGTGCTCCTGATAGGGTATTATTATCTTAATAAAGTGTCAAATACAATAACCATCTTATCTTATCTCCTAATAAGGTGTTTAGTACATTAAAGATCTTATCTCCTAATAAGGTGTTTAGTACATTAAAGATCATATCTCCTGTTGCTAATAAGGTGTTCAGTACAAAAACGATCTTATCTCCTAAAACCGTGCGCCTGCCCAATCTCGTGGGTTTTCTCCGGGTCCTCCGGTTTCCCCCCACTGCTAAAGACCCCTACGCGAAAGCGAATTATTGAAATAAAATTAAACCATGTTAGTCCCGAAATGACCTAGTTTGTGACGAGTGGACGTTAAACCCCCTCCTGTATCTTTTAAAAAGGTGTCCAGTAGACAGACAGACAGAATTTAACAGTCCCCTGCTTTCTTCGAAAGGTGAGGGGCAATAACTGAGGTAACTATGGTAATTGGTAATATTTTATGTATCTGCATTAGATCAACTCAATTCATCATTTTATTTTTTACCTAAATCAAGGGAGTGGGGGGCGTTAGCGCGTGCGCGTTACATCAAATGGTCTGTCATCGAGTCACTTGGCGTGGTTTCGATTCCCCGGTTGTAGGTGACAAGGAGTAGGGTCGTCTGTCCAATCTCATGGGTTTTCTCCGGGTCCTCCGGTTTCCTACGCGCAAGCGAATTATTAAATAAAATTGAACCATATGTTAATGCCGAAATGAACTAGTTTTTTTCGAGTGGACGTTAACCCCCATTTCTCTCTCTCTGCCTCAAAACGAAGATAATTGAATGCTTATATATTAAGAGACATTATTCAGAAACATAGGTTATTCGGGAAAATTCTAATAGGCAGGGCCCATGTGGGGGGGGGGGGCAACAGGGACAATTTCCAGGGGCCCGGAGCCTTGAGGGGCCGGGGGTATGCCAAGTAATGTTTTGGTAGAAATATGTTGGTAGAAATTGATAAAAAAAAAAACTACACTGTTACACTGTTACTTGATGCTAAAGCTGAAGATGATAGGTGACTTTTCTGAATGTGGGTAGGCTACCTGGTGGCGTGGGTAAGATTAGAATCGGATTCTGTCAGTCCTCTGGAGCTCGAAAATACATATCTTTCACAAATTTTAGAGCTCCAGGGGAGAGAGAGCGACCCTCCACACACACACACACACACACACATAAACGACACCAATAAACGTCGCGAGCTCTGCTGATAGGTCTTGACATCATAATCACAGAAATACTACAATATAAACTCTGATAAAACCGCAGACAAGTGTTTCCTAAGGAACTTGACAAGAAGAATAGTAGAATATAAGAGACAGAGCCACAACATATTGGGCGGGGGAGGGTAAC